CATATATATCATCTAGATAATGCGTAATTTCACATGCTTATTAAAAGTCCTAAGTAGTATAAGGTCTCTAGCTTGTAATTACATCTTTCACACATATACCACTGATAAATATTTATTCATCAGAAACTGGTAGTGATTATCCCATTGACTGGAGTGTCTAAGTGCTGGGCTTTGGACTAGCTATTCCTCTGACATGAATATTCATGAATGATTGCCAAATTACCAGTAAACTTAGGTCAGTCAGTAACAGTTATACTACAGGAATGAAACATCCAATCAGACCGCTAAAGATTCTCTTGGCAAGTAGGCGGGTAAATTTGTCGTTTTGTCAATGCCCTTATATATACTGAGAGAAACAAATAAAGGATCACAGGAAAATTCAAGCGTTCCTTTACTATTTTCCAGTTTACATCACCAACTATTTGAAAATTGGATACGTAAGTTGGAATAGCTGTTTGTTTGCTGGTTATTACTGCAATCAGCAATATTCCAGCTATATGCTGGCTGGCTGTAAATTATCAAGTCCATTCCAGTCAATCCAGTGATTGACATCTTCAATGTGTGGAAATGGGATGTCAAAGACATACAGTCTAACAACCCAGGGCCTAGATTTTCGAAGCTCTCTTAGCATTTAAGATAGACGTAAGTTAATGTTAATATATGGCACTTATGACTATCGTAGCGCTAAGAGAGCTTCGAAAATCTAGGCCCCGCCCAGTAAGATGCATTTTACACCAAAGATGGTTGTCAAAGGCCAAGTATAACTGGCATCATCATAATGAAGGAAGGATCAGTTGACTTGGGTTGAGTTTTACGTCACATCGGCATTATACCAGCCATATAGCAATGAGACCAAGCCTGCACTCATACAGGTTTTAAATTCAAAATCCAAATGAGTCTTTTCAAAATCCAAATGATTCTTTTCAAAATATATGTTACATTATATTATGTATTCATTACATTATTATTTACAAACAGAAAATGTCATAGCACCAAATTAAAAAACAAGCAATCCGTCATTCACATTACATAGTTACAATTTATGATACAGGTCAATATTGAAAGAAGGATGAAGTAGGTGAAGGCAAGTGAAAATATTGGTCTGCACATGCCAGTACTCAAATGTAATTCGAAAACTTGGTCACATAAAACAAATAAACATACGTTTTTTAAATAATTTAGCATGAGATCATTTAAATTTCTTCCAAGAAGAAACTAATGATACAAAAAGTGAGAAAGCAATAGAAATCAATCATTGTTTATCAAGGAAGTATTTCACACAAGCAAAGGCGAGAGGCAGGCAACCACTGCCAGCACAAAGACTTGACTACTATGTTCTTGGCAACTACCCATATGTAAGACTGTACTTTCGAAGAGCATAGACGATGTAATGCTGATTTTCAAAGACAAATCCATCTCTAGGGCCAGTTCAAAGCCATTATGGGAATGACAAAACTATTGAAAAACAACCATCTTTATCAAGTTGTGAAAGAGAAATATACTTCTCAGAGGATCGAAATCAAAGAGCATCTTTTGAGAAACTAGCTGCAAATGACTCATTGCACATTGAGGGTCTTCATGGGAGAGTGCTGTTTCAAAAAAGATAATTAGACTGTTTGAAATTGGAAATGGCATATAACTGAAAACCATGAAACAATTGTTCAACCCATTTCCAGTGTTTCAGGAGATGCAACAGGAATATATCCCAGGAGTGTGTTAATGATGTTCCTGGGTAACCAACCATCCTTCACCTGTCTCTCTGCTGGGAGAAGTGTATGTGAGGACAGTACTGAAAGCACTTCCCTGAATATGCATCAGAGCGTAAGGACATGGAAAACAGGGAAATGTTTTTTTAAGATATCACAAAAGAAATGTAATCAATGATTTCATCATACGCTCATAAAACTTCTTATCACATCATCGCAACAGTATTTTTTAACAAAAGGAAAAGTAAGTGAGTGAGTTCAGTTTTATGCCGCTTTTAGCAATATTCAAGCAATATCACGGCGGGGGACACCAGAAATAGGCTTTACACATTGTGCCTATGTGGGGAATCAAACCCGGGTCCTAAGTGTGACCCCACTGCCCACAAAAGGAAAAGAGTTTTACACAACACAAGCAAGCACACAAATCAGGCTAATTCGACACAACTGACAAGTCAAGTTGTTTTAAACTTTACCATATTAGCCTACTGTCAAATTCTGTTTTGCCAAAAGTTGAGTGTCAATATGACATCAAAGATTTGCCAAACATGCCAAAAAGACATAAAATGTTTATTAAAGATGCTAGATATCGATACAATTAAATGCTAGTCAGTTCAACACCTCAGGCTATCCAATAAACCAGCTAGATTGTGAAGTGTGAAAGACAACACACTGGCTTAGGTAAATCTAATTGCAAGGCAATTCCTCCTCCCTTCAAAACATGATACTGGAGAAACATAAACAACTGATGCTGGCAAGGAAGCCCTGGAGTTGATGGCGCTGCAATCACTTGGCCACTGCTGAGTAAAAATCCGAAACATATCGATCCTCGGACTTGTGCAATTGATTTTGGATAGAGAGATAGCTGTATCCCATTTTGAGCAAATAAACTGGTACCATTGTCCATCTAACACTGGCAGAGATGGATTGCAAATATCAATGGAGCAACTCCCACATACTGAGGGATGAGTGAGCCGAATATACACGTATAGAGACACACCAAGTGTGGGGCTATGTTTGAGGTGAGCCGAATATACACATATAGAGGCACACCAAGTGTGGGGCTATGTTTGAGGTGAGCCGAATATACACATATAGAGGCACACCAAGTGTGGGGCTATGTTTGAGGTGAGCCGAATATACACCTATAGAGGCACACCAAGTGTGGGGCTATGTTTGAGGCGAGCTGAATATACACGTATTGAGGCACACCAAGTGCGGGGCTACGTTTGAGGTGAGCCGAAAGCACACGTATAGAGGCACACCAAGTGTGGGGCTATGTTTGAGGTGAGCCGAATGTACACGTATAGAGGCACACCAAGTGTGGGGCTATGTTTGAGGTGAGCCGAATATACACGTATATAGGCACACACCAAGTGTGGGGTATGTTTGAGGTGGCACACCAAGAGTGGGAGCTACGTTTGAGGTGAGCCGAATATACACGTATAGAGGCACACCAAGAGTGGGGCTATGTTTGAGGTGAGCCGAATATACACGTATATAGGCACACCAAGAGTGGGGCTATGTTTGAGGTGAGCCGAATATACACGTATAGAGGCACACCAAGAGTGGGGCTATGTTTGAGGTTTAGTGACTGGGAGCAGTATTGTGGACAAATGACCAACTAATGCCATATATAAAGTGTATTGTCTTTAAAAAACCAATACGGGCAGGATTTTATAATGAAATCCATATGGGGTTTATAGTGTAGAATTGGTTACCAAGAGGAATGACAAGTCTTTATGGATGATCAGCTTCTTTATTGTACAATAGCGACGTTTCGGTACAGATACGTATACCGTTTTCAAGTATATTGTCATTCCTATTGCTCACAACTTCTAGAATGCCTCTCAAACAGTTTGGATACCCATATGTTTTGGTGGAGACGGATCAAGATTGGTAATAAACATGATATTACTACAAATAAGCTGAATATGTCTTTCAACAACCTTCACTCACTCATGCTGTACGATACATAATGTAATGGAAGATAACTTATTAGGCATTTCAAAACTTGAGGTAGATGGCAATAGTTGGCAGGTCATGCTTACTGTTTTCAGACACACCAAGTGTCAACACAGATTTTCAGTGATCCATTCATGTAATTTTCAAAGCTATTTTGCATTTCATTCCCAGGAAAATCTCTTCCAGCAGATAACAGAAATGTTCTCTAGTGTTTTATATTTGATTCGCTGGGTGAAGTAGAGTTTACAGCTGCAGAAGCTGAATAAGCTGATGTGTTCAAAGGACGTTCAAAAACATTTCAAAGCTTTGAAAATAATTAACATTGGCAGCTCTTTGTGTCAAATTCTAAATCTAAATATCTGAATACATGGCTTCTCACACTGTTTCTACTAGCTCTTTGACAAAGGTGGATTCAGACTTGAAAGTTGCCAAAACTGGTAAAAATATAATTTCTTGTTGGGGGAAGTGAGTTTGTTTCATCAAATCCTAACAACACAACAGTGTTTTCTTTCCTTCTGTGTTCACCCTACTTCAAAGAAATCTGTGCTACTTTGATGGAATATGTAATTGTTCTTGTTTGTTTTCATTGGAGTAAAGCCATGAGCTGTTCATGAAGGTCACATTCAAAATGACATGACAGTGAATGTTATTGAAATGATGAAACAACACATTCACATAGCAAATGTTACTAACAAGCTGAAAATAACTTAAGACCAGTAACACAAAGATCAATACTTTCCTTTTATACCTGTACATGACACAGACATTTGTTTTGCCAAACTGTTTCAGCAGCCATTCAGCCTTGATCTAGCAGCAGCACCAAAATCAATATCATGTTTAGTTCATAGCTAGAAACAAAATATAATCCTTTGCTACTAACGGTCACTTGTAACCTACAACTACCATTGGTGCATCTAAACAAACCCTGACACAACTCCTACCACATCTCAGTCATGATACAAATGGAATTCTCCTGGACCTCAGTCAACCCAGAACCACAGAACCACAGGAAGTAGTTCAACATAACATCAAAGTCAGACAGTAATCAATCTCGATTATCTGTTGAAACAGATTCCACGGGGTGTGAACATTGAATGGCCAACAGAAATTAATTGATGACAACAGATGTTCCCGAAAAGGGTAAGCATATCTGCATAATTTTCATTTTTCCAGCATGCAAATGACTACAAAGACTGTCATGACAACAAAGTTTCATATCTGAATAAAATATAAAGGTTTTGATATTGACTATATGTTTCCTGTTCTGATAAATATTGCTAAAATCAAGAACTTACCATGAGAGCTGTAATTTCTTAAGAACGAATTAGTTACCTTGAACTCCAGAGATTCCTTAATTGTGACTGACGTGTTGGTAATATCTCCAAGCCTAGGTTTGGCCATGTCTGCAAGGCTGGGGTCCTCAGTACTGGTCACTCTTTCATCAGTGTATTTACCTAGTAAAATACCAAAAACAAGCATGTTGAAAGAAGGTGTGACATATGCTGTCTCCTATTATGTGGTTGCGCTGTTTGTCATATCTCTACAGTGACAATACACAGAGTTCATAAGAAGAAAGGCTGGAAAGGAGTTAGCAAAGAGAGGGCTGAAGTTTGATTCCGAAAATGCACAATGGATCGTTGATAATTTTGATATGAAAGATCAGTTTCAATAACATTCACTTAATTTTCTCTCTCGTTACGGAGCACCAAAATGAGTACCAAAACTATGCCATCTTTGACCAAAAGCACAGAATTTAAACAGAGTTTGATTTCTGTATTTATACATTCATGATATATTTATATTCCAATAGAAAATTCATTTTCTTGCTCCCAAAATGATATGATGTTGTTAATACAAAAGCTGAAAACCTTTGGAAAAACATTAATTCACTTTTTGAGGAATCAAACCGTTTGAAACGTCTGAAAAAGCTGGGTTATTTGGAAATAGTTGTTACTGCAGCAGACGTTGGATGAATGGTCATTGAACTTTTAGAAACAGTAAGCATTGTCAGCAAGTTATGAGCTAGGAACACAGGCATAGTAACAGAACAACTGTCAAGAGATATTAGTAAAACATAACATTTAGGCTTGGTTGAGCACATGGAAGAAAATAAGGATGAGTTAAGAAAATAATCATTACAATTACAGAGACACTTACAGCAAGATTGATAGAATAGGGATGAAAACTGTTATTGATTCATATACATTAAAAGGTTTGAGAATGGAAATGCAAACAACATCTGGAAATAATACAGGAACCTTGAAGATGGTTTCATTCACGTGATAAAGAAAATGGAAAGATGCATTTCATTAACAAAAAGGGGGGGTTTCAAGACAGCAATATCAAAATATTTTCTCATAGATGGAGCAAGGAGAAAAAGTTTTCAAGCTTGGAATGTTTGGAATAATGACATTATTACCAAGAGAATGGTTTAGACAAAATACACAGAAACTTGCAATTTACAAACTGCAAGAATCCTGACCAAACATCCCACGAAACATTCCCTGAAATGTAAGGTATTTTCTTCTCTGTTCTGGGAAAATCACACACACAAAGACAAGGAAATATTCATTGTAAACATGCAAAAAAACAAGTCTATGGTCCTAGTGCAAAATACTCGCCCCATGTCTATAAACATGTGTATGAACATTCCACTACAATACTGATGGTACATCTATGAGCTCTTATCGGTTTGGATCTGTGCTCAACTGGTCTTCATCAGGTATTAACATGGAGACAGACATGGCACCACTTGACAATTGACATACAAACATTTTTGAAAAGGTAATTTCAGGTTTGAACAAATAAAAATATACATAAAAAACCCTTTGAAGGCAAAAAAAAAGAATTTCAGGCATATCTTATAACTATATCATCTAAAAGGTGCCATGCTATTAAAGCTGAATAGCTAAATGGCACAGGATGCAGTAAGTCAATGTTATTTAAAGAAATTCCTGCTACAAGAAATTGTTAAAAACTCATTCATTGACTGAGACTAAATTTGCATTGAATTGATTATTTCACCAAAGTCTAACTGTACATTTCTTGTAAAGGTGCACCATGTTGAACTGCACACAGGACAACACACAACAAAACAGACAACACACGACAATGATGTCTTCTCAACCAGTAACTGTCCAGTTGAAGTAAAACACACAATATTTCTAAAGTGGGAAAAAATCATAAAAAATAACACTATCAAAATGCTGTGGTAAACTGAAAAAATAACGTCAAACCATGCCATACTGGCGGCGCCAGCTCAACGTATTGGAGCTGGGTGCTGTGGAAGTTTGCAGGCTATAAGCATTGCCAGTAGCATGTCATGAGCTAGGGCTACAGGTAGAGTAACAATACAACTATCAAGGGCACACCCATATACTTATCTGCTACCGGAGACTCTGCTTGGTCAGAATCTTCGTCTAAAATCAATTAGAACTTTTCAGTGAAGCTGACTGCTTCCAGTGTTAATATTATGTTATGAACAGAAAATGATTTTGACATACAGATTTCTCCTTAACCATTGATTAGCATGAAATAGTAACAGCTGAACTGTCTTTTTCTCGGCTTATTGGTAAATATTCCATCAAAACTGAAAATATAAGCAATTATGTCACATCATACAAGAAATTATAATGAATCCGAAGAGTACGATCCTGGCTATCATCTCTACAATAGGTATGTGCTCATCAGTGATTTCCTAATAGCAGAACTTATTGTTATAGATGTCACATGTAATACAAATTCTAGATCATACATCAATAAAACCTGACAAGGCAAAACAATGATCTTTCAAAATGTTAATTCCTCAGGGAAATGACTTTCAAATATTTCTTATGGAACATCAATTCTCAAATAACTCTTGAGGATCCTGCAATTACAAAGTTTGTATAAATGTTTCACAAGGTATGGGACTTGAATATGCGAGTTGGTGGTGTAAGTGACAAGGATGACCCATGGATGCTCCATGAATCTTGTGTCGAGAACTCTTTCAACCATTATCAATCAAAAATGTATGTGCAAACGATTAAAAAAATATATGCATTTTCCTTCCACTGTCCTGTGTACCAAGTATGTAATTCCCATATAAAAAGTTAATGATACAGAGAAAAGTGTTCAGGATCACAAGGACAAAAGTGTATAGGTGACAACAGATCAAACGGAAAGATACTATACATTAGAACTGCTTGTATGTAACATTCCTTTGACAAAGATCGTTACTATAGAAGAACAATGGTATCCAGTACGGTGGTATCAGTGAAGAAAAGCTATTGATCTCATGGGAGCCCTATTGTTATTCTTTAAGGAACCACGGCGGCCATTGTTCAGCATGCCAGGCACACCATACCCCAGTATCCATCATAATTATCACATCTCTCAGCCCTCTAATAACTTCCAGAATCACTGCACATCATAATACTTATATACATATATGGCAATTCTGTGAAGTGACCATGTTCTTTAGGCTGAGGTGGGAGGTGCAAAATCAACCATGGTGACCTAAATGTATTGTGCAAAAATGGCCTAAGGTGCTAGGCTGAGAATCAACCTTGCTCGTGTTGATATTTATTTCAGTACAAAAGGAAGAATGCTCCAGGTGATGGTAACACAAGTTTCTGTGCTCTGTGAAACAAAGCATTTAATGCATATAAACAATGTAGCATGGTACTGCAACACACAGCCAAAGAAAACATGAAGTATTTGAAATTACATGTCCAATAAACATCATTTTCTTCTATTTCCATAAGACACACCATAACATTTCAAAGACAACAAACAACCAATATAAAAAACTTTACCTTCTCAAATATTAACACTGTCTAATAAGCAGCATTATTCATTTCCGAAAGAATTGTTAAAAGTAAAATGCCCAATCCAGGTCAAAAGATGTTTCCTCATTTCAGAAATATGTTCAGGAACATTTTTTTCATAATCTCATGTAAAAGGTGCACAGCTGCCATCAAAGCACCCAACGAGTCTCCCTTGGCAAAATATCCATGTACTTATTAACTTCTCTACAAGAAATCCTGTCAAAAAGTGGAAAAAGCTACCTTTGATAATATATATATCAACATAGCAAATCTTCATCACACTGAGGCAAAATAGAATGAATATTCAATTTGAACTGTGACAAACTACAAACATCTGCTTTACTTTGTATCTTTTTAAGTTATCACAACACTGTGAAGATTTCCTTTTAATGACAATGTACAGCCTTCCAGAAAAGTCCTGCCAAGCAAGACACAATCTGGGGTTAATTATAGAAGATGCAACCATATCTCCTGCCAGCCCTTCACTGAACGAGAAACACAATCTTAATGACAGTAATAAAATATAAAACTGTAACTTCTGCCAAGAATGTGTGCGGTTTACAGTTAATACCTTGACCAAGAAATGTACTTACATAGAGATAGAAATAGTTATAAATTACTAGATCTGTTGCATGGAATATCTAACAAAACAGGCATGCTGAGTATAACAGTAGGTCTAATCACTGCTGTACACTTTCTAAAGTAATCAAACATTTCAAACTGGGTCGATCTCATTCTGTATTAATAGTTTTAGTGCAGTATCTAATAAACATAGATCCAGGCTAAGAAGAATATCACAGGTTGTAATAAAGATAAAAACTTACCTCCTTCAAGAAAAAGATAGTTATCTTAACTACCGGTACATAAATTCATGAAGCTTTAACAAGTTTCTACTTTGTGCATTATGTTCCCATACAATGGACACAGTAAGTACTTGTTGTAAACAAACACCAGCATATATCTATCAGTTTCAATACTAAACTGCCTTCGCTGGACTGCATTAGTCACAGGGGTGGAAATAACCCATTGCCCGACTGTCCGAGTCCAGTGGTTTTTCTGTCGGGCAAGCAAATTTGCATATCGTGCTGTACCAGTGTCCAGTTGACTTTCCAATGTTAATTATGCTGTTTATTTAAGAAATCAACAAGAAAATAGGCCGGTATAGTGGAAAAATTATCAGGGCAAGTGATTTTACATGTGCCACTGTATCGGAGTACACTAGCAATTTTAAAGTTATTTCCACCCCTGAGTCAGCTTGTATAATATGTGGCATATTAACTGCAGACAATTCTCATGAATCTTCCAGTGAGATTGGATCCAGAAGTGAAGGTCATTCATTCAGAAGTGTTACATATGTGAACCATTAAGACATATTCTTCAACCATTCTCACAGCTGTGATGTTTGGTTACCTACATCGATCCATTAAAACTTACAACTAATCAGAAGTTTCTCTTGACAGTCATCTCACATCTTGTACTACTTTCTCACAGCAAACAGCAGGCTGGCCTTGAAGACACTTGACAAAAGGTTTCCCTCAAGCAAGTCGGTCATGAATTGATTTAGGTCCAAGGTTGCACAAACCATATACACTAATTTATGGCATTTTTCTTAGAAAATTAAAGTGCTTGATACCACAAGAACCAGAACTCGAATTCTACAGATGTTTTTCAAGAATATCAACACCTTACATAACACCTGAAGGTTGCCATTCAATCATGAAGTACCTGAAACTACAGGGAAAACACATGCCAGACCTTATTGTACTCATACATGTACACTGTAGAAGTTGAACAAGAAGTTGAACACAGTGAATGTATTGAAGCATTTCATATTTAACAGCATTCAACTGACATTCTAAATTGCATTTTTTCAGTCTGCAAATCCAATAATATCAAACGTTATCATAGTATGCTGCTGCTCGTGCTCTTCTGTAGAGCTCAGTCTCTTAGATTTTGCAATGACAAGTGAGAAGACGGAAACACTGGTCCCGAAATCTACAATTATATTTCTTCACTGTTGTTTTTCCTTCACTAGAAAGAGAACTTTGCCACAAACACCAACTGGTGTTTCTCCGGGCTAGACAACAAGAAGCAGTGACAATCAAGAGGGGGAATTGTTTTTGTCTCCTGTACTTGATATAACCACTAGTCTTAAATGAAATCTGGGCGAGTTGGATCCATTTCCCAACAAATGCACTGCCACGAGAAATAAGGACCATCAATGTGGGATGCTGATTGACTGATATTTAATGGCTCGCTCCTCCAAATGTGATGGCAATTTTCAGATAAACGTGATGCTGCTCAATTGATTGAGGATCTCATCAGACTGCAAGGAAGCAGTGCTAATGATTGCAAATAAAAGAAAACGATCTGATCAATCTTAATTTTCAACCAAAATAAAATACAAGTTCACACTTGACAGAAGGATGACATTCCTGGAAGAGACAGGTATCGTAACACTGTGATGAAATGAATCATCTTCAGAAAATGTTTCTCAGTGTCCATAAGTAATAGTATGGTATACTACTCAAAACACATTTAGGACCACCCGATTCACTCCCATAACTAGAGTTAATTTGTCAATGCATGACAGATTCAGTTCAGCCATTTGAAAGAATAAGTAGGTCCTTAACTTTGTTTTAAGTACCATGTAAAGGTCCCACACAAATATTAATACTTGATAAGTTTTTAATAATTAAAATTCCATCACTCATGATGAACATGGACAAGTTTTTGAACTCGCCATGACACATGAAGTTCCCTTTGTGAAAACCTTCAGGACAAAATGAAAGTCTTGTGATGACTTCAAAGACTCTCTGCATGACAATAAGTTATTACACAGGAGATTCACTTGCAAGGCTTATAAGATCTTCCACCAGTCACTCTGTGGGTCTGATCACTGACTAACCCAACATATTTGATGCTCATCAAGGATTAAGGATTTGATCAACCTTAGAATTTTTTAAGGGGAGTATCAAAACTTAAATCAAATGCTGGTAATTCAACAATAATGTGGGTGGAAAAACCTTTGACAGGTGTATATGAAATTTACAAATATGGAAAGTAAACTATTATCCAGTAAAACAACAACTGAAAGTCTTTGTAAAGAAATATTTAGTTATTGTTAACTAAACTTTTCAATTTTTACCCAAATATAGCATAGTCCTCTTTTCTTACACACCTATGTGTAACATAACTATGTTGATTACATTCACACCTGTGTTGGTGAAAGATACCTTTAATGACTTTACCTCATAGTTTGTGTTATCTACCCCACACAAAAACAAAAGAACAATTAGCCTGTTATTGTTCCACTGCGTGCCTCATCCGCAGTAACAACACCTTTCTGCCAGCAAATTCTGGTGCCAGAGTATGTGCACAGGCTGCAACTATTACCCTATTATCGAAACAATCCAGTCATAGCAACCCACGTAAAGAAGGAAATGGTTCATGTACTGAGGTAAGGTGATACCTTTCATAGTTTGCTGATACATTTAAAACGCAGTCTTTTAAAACACAAATCATCAGTCACCTGATACACAATCCAGTCCCTTGCTCTACCGATATACATTCTATCTTTGAAATCCTATACATGCCATGTAATTCTTCAG